CGGTTAAGTTTCCAAAATACCGACCGAATCCAAATATTTTGGATCCACGTATACTCTTTGAATCTGAATCCGGATACCAAGGGATCTGTTCTCGATCCGACCTATTCTCAACCCAAGACCTGCTCAAACCCTTCGCAAGTCTACCAAAAACATAAGAATATTTTATCTGAAAAAGTTTATATTCATATACCATTTACTTTTAATAAAAGAAGGCCGTGTCCCTGACTGACCGGACTAAAAATCCAAAGTAACATTTCTTCAACTTCTTGACATAACAAGAACCATCTAACTTGTTAAAAAGGAGTAATTGTGGCTTCCTTGTAATAAAAAAATTTTAAAAAAAAACTGTTATTTAGTGGCTAGGAGCAATATGACCTCCTTACAATAAAGAGTTCACATACTATATAATACACGAACCTTTTTTGGAAGTTGGAAACACCGTTGTCAATGATGGTAATAAATGGCACTAGTACATGCATCATTTTGATGCTCTTTTCCTGCGTAAGCAAAAGATTTTTGTAATTAACCCATCCCTGTCCACCTATATTACATGAGACAATGGTGAGGGAAAGAGAGGAATCCTAAATTACTTTCCCAAAGGAAGTTACCTAATATTGATTTGTTAAAGCATTGACATTTGCAACACGTCCCTTTATCACTCAAAGAAAATCTGGCTTTGGGCCTGTACAAAAACTGACCTCAAACTGCCTATGCATACCGCAATTATATGTACATAGGAAACCATGACTATTACCTATGTTTCGCAATGTCTATGGGATATTATTAGATTCTAGATCAAAACCAGAGGCTTGTTAATCCAGATGCTTGTTAATCCAACGAAACCGCATGCCGCGAGAATGCATGAGTTTAATAAGGTCTCGAGATAGCAAGTACTTCAAGCTCTCCAATGCCTTCACCTTCTTCAAGCTCTCTGAGGAGCGCAAAGCAAACTCCAACCCCTCAACAGACACATTGAGGGCATGTATAATCTTCACATCTTGTAGGCACCTCAGCTTGGCAATCAGAGCAAAAAGCCCCATGTCTGATACCGGGCAATATGAGATGTTGATCTGTGTAAATGGCAAGTTCAGAGGAGACCGATAATAATACAAAACTACAAATAATGGAATCAATTGGAAAAGCATAATATGGTCCATAGGACTATAGGAAAACATTGTCCATGGGAATCATAACCACTGGATGAAAGAACGGATGATGATGGAGGAAGGGGACCTACCATTTGGAATCATGTACTGTTCTAGCAGGCCCCACTCTCAATCATAATGGCCATGGCCCCAATTGTACTATGATCTCCCATAGTCCAATGGAACTCTAATATACTTTCAAACAAAAACAACACTGACATTAAAAGCCCAAAATCCACTGCAAAAATCAAGAGAACATTCCCCATATGAAAAGTTTTATTCTCACCTGCCTCAAATATTTAGAGTGTTGGGCCAGTGCTAGCAACCCCTTGTCATCTATGGAGTAGCACCTCTTAACATCCAATTCCACCAATTTCTTACAACCCCAAGCAATTGAACTCATACCAATGCAAGTCACCTTTAACAAGCTCCTCATTTCAAGAGTAGATAGTTCCTCTAACCGCCCCACATGCTTCATTCCCTCGTCTGTGAGCTGATAACAGTAGGATAAGTTGAGAGTCCTTAACTTTGTGCATCCATCTGCTATGGCAGCCAGTCCATCATCCCCAATTCTGATACACCTGAGCCAACCCACTTCTTAGTTAAATTTCTCATTAAAGAGGAAGAAATAAAAAGACAAGTCCCAGGGATCCAATGACACAGCAAATACAAATATGAAAAAAATGGAAATACAAGGATGAGGAAATATTAGATTTCAGGGATTTCACACCTGTACAGATCGAGTTCTTGAAGTTCTTTGCAGCCTGTCCCAATATGCACCAGCCCTTTATTGGATAAGTTGAGGCAAAGTCCTAATTTCAAGCTTCTCAAATGCGAGCATTGTGATACATATTTGAGTCCTGAGAATTCCCATGGGCAAAAGTTGAAGGAAAGAATCGTCAGGAACACAGATACAGGCTTACCCCAAGTCTGGAAACAAATCTAGCCCATTCACAGAAATTCCTTTAAAAGAGTGGTAAAAGATGATATAAAAGCTTTTCTTTGAATTACACGAGGTAACAATGGTGTGGCATTCAAAGATTGCCAAGGTAAATAGATAATTAGAAAGAATAGAGTTTCTATAGAAGCCAACACGTGGTTTTCCCCTTTTTTGTCTCTCTCCTAGAAGCTTCTACTAATAAAACATTTTTAATCAAGCATTATGCGACCTCTTATAAGTGAACTACATTACCATTAGAGAAATCACATGAAAAGACCACACAGCACTTTTATGTTCATATATATGGATAATTAACTCAGTTACATTGGGTTGTAAGTAGGGGACCAATGTTGGTGCTTTGGACAAATAAGGAAAGTGATAGAGTGAAGATGAAGTGTTGCATAGTAGAAAGTGAGAAAGTAAAGTGAAGCAAGACAGTGATGTACAAATGTTGTAATGAATGAAACGAGTGCTTAGAAGTGTACTTATGTAGTGTAATAAGGGTAGTAGAGTGATTATAATATAACGAATGAAGTGATGTGCAATTGAGCAAACAACTATAAGTACAATATTTTATGGGTTATTCCTCCTTTAAATGTGTAGTGTGTGATTGTTTGCTGAAACCCCACAAATGGTATTAGAGCTACATAAGAGAGGAGCCATTTATCGTGAGCAGTACAATACTGTGAAGCCCACAAGTCAAGGACCAAGCTTCTTCGTGGTAGAAATGATGAGCAACCACATTAATTAGAATGGCCAACCTAGCAAACATAACCGGTGGGCTCACGAAGTTAAACTATCACAATTATGACAACTAGCATTTGCACCTAGAATCATAACCACAAGGCCAAGACCTCTAGAAAGTTATCAACAACAATACGCCTGTCGCACCTACAAGAGAGAACGCATACAATGTAGCACTTTACTTTTATACACATTACATCACAATCATTGTGCTATCTTTTAGACTTATTTATTATGCTACTCATTATACTCTACACTCTGATCCACCACTTTCCAACATCCCACCACTCTCCTAGGTCATACAACTTTCTCCCTCGCTACCATGCAACCTCATTTCACTGACTCACTACTACACCTTACTTCACTCTTCCACTTGTTCCATATGCCCAAAGCACCAACAAGGGTCGCCTATTTATAGCTCAAAATAACCAACTTAACCATCTCTTCTAAATGTATAGACACAGAAAGTGCCATGTGGTCTTCTCATGCAATTCCACCATACAGGGTAATTTAATTCACTTATGAGAGGTCACATAATGCTTCAATGAAAAAAGAATCTTAGTAGAAGCTACTTCTACAGTTGCATAAACAGGGAGCATTTCAGCACAATCATTATGAATTACCTGAATCATTGATGTTAAAGCAATCTGTAAGATCAAGCTCTGAGAGAGAAGGGCAGCCTGATCCCAGCTCTTGCAGGCCCATATCGGAAATTAGGTCGCATGACTCAAGCTTGAGGCAAATGAGGTCCCTACAAGAGGTTCCAATGGCCAAGATTGCGACATCTGTTATTTGGTGGCAGCAGGTGAGATCTAAGGACCTCAGGCTATTGCAACCATTCAAAAGTTCAATGATTCCTTGATCAGTCACTCCAGGGCACTTGCTTAAACTCAGCTCAACCAAATTCTTCAAACTCAAGCCAATAGAACAGAGAATTGAAGCATAAATCTCACACCCATCAATGTCAAAGGTGCTCAAGCTCCTTAGGTTCTTTATTTTAGAGAGCAAGGGAGAAGTCAGCTCCTGTAGAATTACCCAGGTGATCCAAGCAAGATATCAGAATGGATCCAGGTGATCCAAGTCAGGAATTCAAATAAAGTTTTACGAGACATTGAGAGAAATGGAAGGGAATCGATTTTTTGGGTCACACTTACAGGGAGAATATGAGCAGCATTGAGGTGCTGGAGATTTTGGTGGCCTCTCATTATTGAAATAAGGCCTGAGGATGTCACATTATCACACCTTGAAACATCAATTCTCTGCAAAATACGCATGATTCCAGGAAGAAAGGAACCAGTAAGTCATCAATATCATTTCATGCTTTTGATCATTCATGGAAAGAATGTTCATAAGTCACAAGGATGCTGAACTATAATGTCTGCGAAATGGTTCAGTGTTTGGAATTCTGCATAAATAATTTACTTGGTTCAAACTGGGAAAGAGAAATGGCTAATGCAGAAATATTACTAAGGGAATCGGAATGCATTACTGCGAAAACAAAAATGTATGTGCTCCAAAAAGGTACCATAAAAAATGTCGAGTGGAAGCTAAGTATCTGCATCATATTCATTTTCAACAAATGTAATTTCTTCACAAACTGGGGAACTAAGTTCCCTTGATAAATTTGTTTACACTTGGAAACATGGAGGATAAGAATTAAGACAAACTCATGTTTATGCGGCCAAAAGAATAGGGCTCATCCCATTTTCTCACTACCTAACTGAGCTTTGACTCCCAAATATTCCAAGGGAAAAGAAACATAGCATCCCTTAACCACATTTTCTCTCTTCTTTTAAGAGCAAAAGGAGAAATTTGGGACAAATTTGTCAAATGCTTACGGATTCCATAGGTTTTGGGCTTTCGCAGGCCCTAGAATAATAAAGGAATTCAGAGAAAGCCAAGGGAACAGAGGAATATAAATTTATTTAAAAAAAAAAAAAGAAAGAAAAGAAAATTGAGAACCGGGAAAATGAAAACTGAGAATTGAGAACTAAAAAATCTTCGAAGTATAGAAAATTAGAAATAGGTAAAGCACAAAATGCATGGGTTCCACCAGGGTTTTTTTTTTTTTGGCGGTAGATCAGGGGGATTATATGTTGCAGTGAGTGGATTTTCTAGGGATATAATTTAAAGTGAGCAAAGAAAAAAAAAACAAATAAAGACTAATTTAATGGTGGCCAGTGAGGTCAACCCATAGGGTTCACAGTTCACACAGCTTGAAACCACAAGGGAAAAGTACAGTTCTTTTAACATCCAAATCACAGTACAAAAAATGCACTGAGAGCGATAGGAACAAAACGATGGCCAATGACTGAGCAGAAAAAGGGGCTAGAAAAGAGAGAGAAATGGTATTGACTGTACCAAGAGAGAGTCGCATCCTTTGCCTAGTGAGGCGAGGCCGTCATCGTCTACATAGAAGCATCTCACCATTGACAAAACCTCCAGCTTTTTAAGAGCAGAGACCGATGCCAGGCCATCGTTTGTCACCTGCAAAACACAATGTAGAAAACAAGCAAAGATTAGTGCAGGGTTTAGAGGGAGAGGTATTCTAGGTCGGAAAGAGATGAACTCGGAGAGAGAGAGGTATGACCGCACGTTTAGAGCGAGAGGTATGCATTTTCAGGTGGAAAAAAGAGGGGAGAGAGAGGCACCAATATCCAAGGGAGAAAGAGAGAAATTCACTGAGAATAATAGTGTCCAGAGAGCAATGGATGTTCCGATCTGAAAGACAGAAGCTCGAGACCGAAGAAAGAGAGAGAAAAAACAAAGAAAGAGAGAGTCCAAAACCTTGAGGTAAGATATATCGAGAGATCTCAGCCCCCTACACTTAGCAGCAACCAAATCGATCCCCAAATCAGTAACCTCCATGCACCATTTCAACCCCAACTCCTCCAACCTCTCTCCGCACCCGACTGCAATTCTCGCCACGCCTATATCAGTCACACCCAAACACTTCACCATCCTCAACCTCCTCAATTTCTTCAACCTTGCCACCACCGAGGCCTCCAAATCACCAAACCCTAACCAGTACGAGACGTCCACCTCCTCTAGCAATGGGCACCCTTCCACCAAGCCCTCGAGGCCTGCCAAACTGAGCCCACTTACTCGCCTAAGGTCCAGAACCCTGAGCCCACGCGCGAGCCCACTGAGCTCGTGGCCCACGAGCCTCGGGCACGCACTCAGGTCCAGTTGCTCGAGCCATGGGTGCCTCCGGGCCAGGTCCGCCAGCTCATCTCGACGGAAAACCGCTTTTCTCTTGCGGGAAACCGTTTCTACTTTGTGGAACTCACGGCAAACCAGTCGCCAGGATTTGCGGTCTGTGGGTTCCGAAACCTTGTCCAAGACTCGGAGTAAGAGGTCCTCGGATAAGGACCGGAGGGTTAGGGAAGGGTCGGCCGAGAGGCGGGGACTTTTAGCCATGGAGCCTGGTTTTCCGACCAAAAAAGAGCGGTTTTTGAGTGATTTAGCCGCTTACTACTGTATTCGATCTGGTTTTAATAGAGCGAAGAAAAGGTAAAGGAAACAGTCATTGCCTGCTCGGAAAACCGCCTTCACCACCACCTCCTTTACTCGCCATCCCCTTCCCCAGAAGCGTTTAGAGTGTACCAGAGAGGGGAGGGTCCCCACTGCTAGATCTTAACCTCTCGTATCTCAAACATGACAGAAACGCCCCTACCGTAACCGTAAATTGTCCGAAATGTACTCAGAGTAGTCAACAGCGACAACACAAAATATCATAACCCTTCTTCGGTCATTAGGGACACAGATGGATTAGTATTCAGTCTTCAATAAACAAATAATTCTTCCGGTTCTTGGGTTTTACTTCCTCGACTGGATATTTAAAAAGGGTATTGAATGAAATCGTAATTATTATTGGCTATTAGTTTTGAAATCGGATGATTGAAGATGTGACATTGTTTATGTACAATTTTAAAACAAAATTTTATAAAGATTATGGTAAATTTTTATCTAGCGGATTTCATGTTTAATGGTTAAAACTTAAAAGTGATTACGATTTTTTTTTGTATTAAAAATAAATTATCTTTTTATATATATTTTAAAAAAAAAATGATAGACTTACAATCCAAATTAAAAGTTAATCTAAAGCGACTTTCCCTCGGAGTTTTGAACAGATTATGGGAGTTTCTCTTTCTTTTATTTACAAAAATTACGAATTTTTATGGAAGATTAAAAAAAAAATTATATCACGAGAATCTTTTCTCGACTATTTAGATTAGGATTATTGCTTCCCAAACATTATTTGTTTTCATCTTTTCCAAGGTTTTATTTTTTACACCAATTCTCTTCCGGTACGGTTTGGTTTGGTTAGGTTTGCTTTGTGGATTCCGAACGGACAATTCGCCAATCCCTAGGACATACATGTATGGATGGAGTGGGCGATCCGGGTTTTAAGAAACAGTGTTGGAAATAAGACCACGACAACAAGCGAAATATGAGATGGTTTAGACGTAGGGGCAGCATGGGCATATTTTTATAAGAATTTGGGTAGGGCCCACCATCTTTCGGTCTTTATTTAATAAGTGCTTTTAATTGGAGCGTGGAGGCCATCGGCTCCAAGCCAAAGGTGCGGTCCTCACGTACCCCGAAAGTACAACCGTTCGTGCAACACGTCCGGCCCAATCCCCACCGTCCATTCAGCTCAACCGTACCCCTCTATAAGTGCACCAGCCGTACCCCTTTGTCCCCCGGAGCGGTGGCCCCACCTCGCCCGAAGTTTCCGCCGACCTTCTCGCATATTCTGCCTAACTAACCCTAGTACCGTTTCCGTGTGCCGCGTGTCCGATTTAGTTAACCATGGTTAGCTTCCATTGGTGGGACCCGCCCCCTCTCGTCCGCGTGCATGTACCATTCCCGCTTTATACGCATCGATTCAAGCGTGTGTACGGATGTCTATTGAATTGACCGTTGTTGGTGTACGGAGTCGCTGGGTTTGTGCATAATTTTTTACTGTTTTGGTGTTGGGCCAAATTTAGGTGTGCGTCGTGGCTGCCCAATTGGAGGACGGTTCCTTTGGCTCTCGCCAATGGCCCTTTGGCGCTGACGACGCTGCTTCGGACACCACCAAAAAAGCATGTTTATATAAGGGTCTCTTGCAATGCATGGAATGCGATTAATAGAGGGTGTGCGGTTTGCATTAGCCTTATGCCCTAAACCATCCAAGCAATCGGCACCTTTAAATTAATTAGTCTCGAAAGATTGTTTCAATATTGAAAATTTTTGTGATGCCTTAGAAATTTATTTTTATCGCTAATTATGAAATTTCAAGCATTAAAAAAAAAAATATAGATCAAGCATAACTATTAACACTTGAAAATATTAAAAGTTGACAGTCTAGATAATGTATTACAAGATGTATTATTTTCAAGACTCGAAGTCTATGTTTTTTAGAGAAAGTATATAATGAGATTATTTACTTTTGGTATAAGATAGTCATAATTAATCTTGTTCACTAAATGTGGAATTGGATTGATTGCATTTATTTTATTGACCAAAATCAAAGTTCAAAATAAATTTTCTCAAACATCGTGACACACCCAAGCTATCAGAATTCGCATCGAATGGTTGTAAATAATTGTGACCTTCTTGTACCGATGGTGCATAGTCTATTTGTATATAATCTTTTTTTTATATATTTATATATCTCAAGATCAAGATGATCGAATTTGATGGTCTTTCAACATTGAAATAACTTCTTCTACTGAATTTTTGAAGTGCGTCTTAATTTGATTATTTAAGACCTAAACGTTATATAAACTTTTTCGTTAATGGAGAAGAAAAAAGTAAGTTATATACGGTTGGGTTTATATGCTATGCCCTAATGGTAGCTTACACTACATGACTACATCTTCAGGTGGAGGATTGACTTAGGGAGATTTTTTCAATATGAAATTTTAGGAACCATCTGATAATATCTGAGTGATTATTTTTAAGATATAAAATTTTAATTTTAAATTTTCTAACACTTAAAAATATTACCCTCAAAATGTTGGAGGTTTTTATTTTATCTTTATGTTTTAATTTTTTTAGGTGGTTCAAGGTAGGAATCAAACTTGAGATGGGCCATTGCTATTGTTAACTGCTAACTGCTCAAGACAAACCCTAACCCTAACCCTAACCCTAACCCTGATTCATGACATTATTTTTTTCAAATATATAGATAGTAAGCTTTTTGGAGATTTCTTTTATTGAGGGTCGAATACCCAAACCTATTTGCATCCATCTTTAAGATGGATGCTTTATACATCTGGACCACATATTATAAAAATGCAGTGTAGCCCCTGTCGACCAATAAATATTACAGTAGTGGAAACCAATGGAGAAGTGAGGGCTTTTCTTCCCACAAAACACAAAACTAGGGCTTAATCGAAGTTCATATCATACAGTGCTGAATCTAAGGGCTATTATCGACCCATAGAAACCGTGTTCTAAAAGTAAAGAAAATGTTCACTTTCTATCGGAATCTTGAGAAAAAGGTTATTTTATTGCTAGTCAGAGAATTGTACTCACGGTACTTTCAGATGAATTATAATTTATGGCGATTCTCACGGATTTTTATCAGAACAAAGTTCTTCGTCACGCACAAGGTTCCATCGTAGAGCATCTAATTATTTTATTATTTTTAGAGGATGGGTGGACAGAATAAATTGCATAATGAAAGGGCCATTTGGATTGTCTTTTGACTCTTCCTGTATTAACAATGACTTTTTCCCTTCCCTTATTGCTTCATATACCACGCAACAAAGTTTTTTTTTTATCTAAGAGGGCAAAGTAAATTCCTCTCACGAAACTTACCAAAAATAAATTGCCTTTTCAATGTCATAAAATGTTCAAATCGATCACCTCGTCAAAAAAATTTAGGATTTTAAGTTCTAAAAATATATCTCCATGTGTATCATTTTTTCCGCTTGAAATTTCATTGCGGTGGTAGAAATTAATTTTAGAGCCATCGCATATATTTTCATTGTTCAAAGTATTTTATAGACTGAGGTTTCTAGGTGAGGCTTGACATCCTTTGAAGGTGAGGCTTTACTTTCTTTCAATAAAGCCTACGCCTTATAGAACCTGCATCCAAACTTAAAAGGAAAAGTTTATATGAGGTCTCAACCTTATACTGTATAGGTAAGGTGCACCTAAAACACACATTACTAAAGGTTGTTTTTATGCCGGAAAACCCTCAAATCAATCATATCGACCTCAAAATTCATAGACATAAAAAAAAAAAGACGATTTCTAGTCCTAAAAATAGTTCATCTGCAAACACAATATATGGACGGTCCATTTTCAAGATTTATAGATATGCTTAATCATCACCCTTTTTGGAACATTAAATTTCATAATTGAAGCAACAATAGATTTTCATATCATCTCAAGGCTTTGCAACGCCGAACTATATTTTTCGGCATAGTTTTACAATAGTATAAGGTTGACACCTTATACAAACCTCACCCAACTTAAAAAGGTGTGGCCATTTCTCTTAAGGAAAATTGTTTCATGTGGGCTGGACCACATTTCTACAATATACGATCCCAAGTATAAAGCATCCATCTTAAAGATGGATGTAAATAGGTGGTCCATCTAAAAACAATTGAAACTAACTGTCCAAATGTTTTCTTCAGAGAATCATTATTTCTAATTTTTAAAATTTATATATTTTTTCATATTCATGATCTCCATGTTAGAGATTACGTGTCCTTAAAAATTAAGTCCAAAAATCCATCTCAAAAATAGATTTTTAAGAGGTGACTATGGACTCATAAAAACAATGTCCTCTAAATTGGAAAAAGATGAAGGCGAAGCAATGCAATGTTAAATAGTAGTTGTGCCGCTATATGTCCTAAAGGCAAGTAATTGATTTTTAAGCTGGGGTTTTGTAACACAAGACTATATAGGATCAATAGCCATGAGCTAACAAAGGTGTTGTAAGCCATCCAACACCGTGATTGGATGGTGATGACACTCATGACCATGTGATTATTGAGTTTTGCCAATATGGAAAGTTCTCATAGATGTCAGTTGCACAACTTCCATTACAAAGATAACCATTTTTCTTTTGTAATATCCAGTACATGAAATGTTGAGATTGTGTTAAGGAAACTCATACAAAGAGACTATTTATAGGTCATAATCACTCTTGTTGGTCAAATTTCAAATCCGATAGTCGTAAGTGTGTCATTGTCTAAGATTTAAAAAAAAAAAAAAAACCCTTAAACTTTACGACACACCTTAAGCAACCTAATTTGACATCTAATGACTAGGAGTAATTGTAACCTCGATGTACCAAAGATAAATAATCTTATAATATGCATTCCGAAATGTTAAAATCCTGAAAGATGGATGACTGATGTTTGGATAGCATCTACATATAATCTGAAAGACAAATATTCACAATTTGGCTAGTTTGGAAGATACATTTCTCATGATATCATTTTGGTCATTCACAAGTGCCATTTTTTTTTTACATGTGAATAATCCATTATGAGAGCAAATAGTGGTGCCGATCATGTACACTTAACCATGGTTGGTGCATTTTATTTTATTTTATTTTTTAACGTTAATTTAGAATTTAGTGAGAAATGAGCTTTGGATGTCAAATCCTTG